TTCACGCTGTGAGGTGTGGCCAAAAAAAACCCAAAAAAAGATCAAATAGATGTTTCTCCAAAGAAGAGGCACAAATGGGTAATAAACGTATGCAAAATGCTCAGCAGCATTAGCCATCAGGGAAATGGTAATCAAATTCATAATTAGATACCTCTTCACACTCTCCAAAATAGCTACAATCAAACAGAATGGAAAACAGCAGGTGTTAGGGTACAGAGAAACAGGAACACTTGTGCACAGCTGGAGGGAAAGGAGAATGGTGCTTCTGCTTTGGCAAACAGTCTAGCAGTTCTTCGAAGGATTAAACAGGGTTGCCTTGTGACCCAGCAGTTCCACGCCTAGGCACACATCTGAGAGAAGTGAAGACATACGTCCTCAGAAAAACTTGGCCAGGAATGCTCATAGCAGCGTTATAAACAACAGTGAAAAAGTGAGAACAACTCAAACTGAGTTGGATCAACTGAGAGTTGGTAAATATGAAATATTCGAGACGTGCTACTACATGGCCGGTTCTTGCAAACACTGATGACATACAAGAAGCCAGACACGAAGTCCTTGATTCTGGGCTTACCTGACTGCTCAGTTGGCAAAGAATCTGCCTGCAGTGCAGGAGAGCCTGGCTCAATTCCTGGGTCGGGAAGATCCGCTGGAGAAGGGAAAGGCTACCCACTCCAGTATTCTTGGGCTTCCCTACTGGCTCAGCTGGTAAAGAATCCTCCTGCAATGTGGAAGATCTGGGTTCGATCCCTGGGTTGGGAAGATCCCCTGGAGAAGGGAAAGGCTACCCACTCCAGTATTCTGGCCTGGGGAATTCCATGGACTGTATAGTTCAAGGGGTCTCAAAGAGTCGGACACAACTAGCGACTTTCACTTTTGCTTTATCCTTGATTCCACTTGTATGAAGCATCCAGAGTGGGCAAATCTATAGACACAGTAAGTTGCCTGGTGGCTGCCTGTTGCTGGGAGGGTTGGGAAATGGATGTTAATGCATGCATGCTCTCCTCTTGGGGTATGGAAATAGTCCAACATTGGTTGTAGCGATGGTTACACAACTGTGACTGTGCTAGAAACCTTTGACTTGTATACTTTAAAGGGGTCAGTTGTAGGATACATGGATTATATCCCAACAAAGTTAGTCTTTAAAAACTTAACAGAGAAAATAAATATTTAAAACAATGCAAAACGAACTCCCTGAGGGTTCAGTGTTTAGGACTCTGTGCTTCTACTTCAGGGGTTTTGGGTTCGATCCCTGGTTGGGGAACTAAGATCCCACAAGCTGTGCGGTGAGGCCAAAAAATAAGATAAATAAAAATTAAAAATAAGATGCATAGAGAAATAAACAGAGCAAAAATCCAGACACTCGTTTGCCTTAATCAGTGTACCACTTCAGGTTACTGAAGGGGAAGAAGCATTTATCTGTATGAGCTGTTTCAGACAGCCCTAGTCACAGAGGAAAGCTCTTCTTTCTAGATTGAGCTCAGTGAATAAATATGAAGGGATGGCAGAATTAAGACATCAGTGTGTAATCCCCAGTGAATTATTATTTTGTCACGTGGCTTGTGGGAACTTAGTTCCCTGAGACCAGGGATCAAACCCATGCCCTCTGCACTGGAAGGACAGAGTCTTAACCACCGGACTGCCAGGGAAGTGCCCCCACCTCCTCTTTTCTGGTCTGTAATCCTCGTAAAATACTGATGCAGACAAAGGTCATCAAGGATGCAGACCTGATTTATTCAGCAAGGGGATGGAACTGGGTCTCCACAGGGCGGGTCTCCCAGGTCCGTCTGAAAGGGGGCAGTTTACAGTCAGGGGTGCAGCTGGACCCGCTCAGCATCGCGGCCCACTCTGAGTGCCCCCTGGAAGCACTGGGCCCACAGTTCACCCCACTTCTTGATTCTGAATCCAGTTAGGCCTGTGGTACATCTTCCAGTTCCTTGGAAATGAAACTGTTACCGGGACTAGTTAAGGGGAACTCTGAGGAAGTGACTCAGCTTCTCCAGTAAGTGAAAGTCACTCAGTCGTGTCCGATTCTTTCTGACCCCATGGACTACAGTCCATGGAATTCTCCAGGCCAGAGTACTGGAGTGGGTAGCCTTTCCCTTCTCCAGGGGATCTTCCCAACCCAAGGATAGAACCCAGGTCTCTGCAATGCAGGCATATTCTTTACCAGCTGAGCCGCCAGGGAAGCGCTTCTCCAGTAAGTGGAATATTTAATAGGACAATACACACGTGCTAAGTCACTCCAGTGTCCCCAACTCTTTGTGACTCTATGTGTTGCAGCCTGCCAGGCTTCTCTGTCCATGGGATTCTCTAGGCACAAATACTCGAGTGGGTTGCCATTTCCTATTCCGAGGGATCTTCCCAACCCAGGGATAGAACCTGTGTCTCTTACGTCTCCTGCATTGGCGGCTGGGTTCTTTATCACTGGCACCACCTGGGAAGCCCTAGTAGGGCAGTAGGGTGGTGGAATGCCTCTCTCCCACACACCTCTGGCCTTTGGAAGGATGACAGTCTGGATCAGTGATGCCCAGTAGAAATGTAACAGGAAACACAACCTGAACTTTGAGTACTGTAGTAGCCACATTAAAAATGTTAAAAGAAACAGGTGAAGGTAATTTTAATAATGCAGTCTATTTAGCCCAATATATCTAAAATATTATTTCAATATATGTGAACGTCATTCAGTCATGTCCGACTCTCTGCAACCCCATGGACTGTAGCCCACCAGGCTCCTCTGTCCATGGGATTTCCCAGGCGAGAATGCTGGAGTGGGTTGCCGTGCCCACCCCCAGGGCATCTTCCCAGCCCAGGGATCACACCCAAGTCTCTTACATTTCACACACTGGCAAGAGATTCTTTACCACTAGCGCCACCTGGGAAGCCCATGGACTATACAGTCCAAGGAATTCTCCAGGTCAGAATACTGGAATGGGTAGCCTTTCCCTTCTCCAGGGGATCTTCCCAACCTAGAGATCAAACCCAGGTCTCCACCATTGCGGGCGAAGTCTTTACCAGCTGAGCTACCAGGGAAGCCTGAGAATACTGGGGCGGGTAGCCTATTCCTTCTCTGGTGAATCTTCCTGACCCAGGAATCGAGCTGGGGTCTCCTGCATTGCAGGAGGATTCTTTACCAGCTGAGCTACCAGGGAAGCCTCAATAATAAATATTATAGAAATATTTTATTTTCTTTTTTTCATACTATGTCTTCAATATCTGGTGTGTATTTTACACTTACAATTCATCTCAATTTAGATGCTAAACTTTGATTGCCAATACTTGATCTCTATTTAAATTTCATAGCATTTATAGTTTAAAAAAGTATACTCACACACTCAAGTTGTTCCAAACAAACTGAAAAAAATTCCCAGAATTGAATCAAGTACCAAAAAAGAAACAGAAAAAAAAAAATCGTTTTCTTTATCATCTGCATTCTCATTGACAAAAGTAGTTTACTTTTGAAAAAGAATTTGAAGGAAAAGCATATCAGATTCAAAATTATATCAAGGACTTTCCTGGGGGTCCAGTGGTTAGGACTCCATGATTCTACTGCAGGGATCCGGGGTTCAATCTCTGGCTGGGGAACTAAGATTCCACAAGTCTAGGGGAAAACCCCCCAAAACCAACAGCCGTTAAAGTTAAATGAATTCACCCACATTGTCTCAAGTCAGTTGTATTAACCTTGACATCAAAGGTTAATGATTGCCTTGATGGAAAAGTACTGCTTCAACTTGGGAATGGTTGTGGAATACATAATACTGTTTACTACTATTAAAGCATTCTGCCTGTTTATTCATGTTAGTAAACTTCGTAATATCATTATTATTGATTTGTATTCTAAAAATTTCAATTGCAAATAAATTTGCATACCTGTCTAGCTAGGTCACAAGTTTTTGGTTTTTTTTTTTAGTATTTACTTATTTGGCTATTTCAGGTCTTAGTTGCAGCATGAAAACTCTTCGTTGTGGCATGTGGGATCCAGTTCCCTGACCAGGGATCAAACCCAGCCCCCTTGCATTAGGAGCATGGAGTCTTAGCCACTGGATCACCAGAGAAGTCCTGGTCAGAAGTTTCTATATGAAGGCTTTAAGCTTCAGGTTTAGCTCCTTCTTACACTGTGCTGTTGGGGAGAAAACATCTGTCACACTGCTGTTTGTGGCTTTGATTACTGAGCATTTGGCAAACATCCCCTTTATGTCCAGCAATGCTTGAGTTAGGGGAAAGTAGGGGTAAATCTTTGTGAAACTCTTTCAATGAGCACCAGCAAGTATCATCACACTCATCGTCTTTAATTTCTTTCAATAGTTCTGTAAACTCAGGAAGAGTCATAACACTGGCACGTATTTAATGAAAACAGTTTTAAAGAACACTATGACACTCTTCACAGTGTCTACTTCAGGAAGTCAAATGTGAATATTATCAATATGCATTACATAATGGAATAAAGCAATAAGAGAACCACCAGTGTCTTCTTTGAAAATTCCCATAAATTCTTGATTTTTGGCTAAATAGTTGAAGCACTGCCTGTTGTAATAGAAATTACACCTGTTTTTTCGCTTGTAGCTGATACGCTGCAAGACTTGAAAACGTCCACCATGGGCTCTGTTTTACAGGCCATGACTTGGCAATGTTACTTTGTTGTGTTTGCAGGTCTGTTGTTGGCCTGGGGCATGAATCCAGCCCCAGCCCAGCTCAGCGCTTCTTCATTCATTTCATATCTTGTTCCATATCTGTTCCATATGCTTAGGCATGTTTTAGATCATTTATTATTGTTACTTTTTTAAAACCTAAATGTTTTAAGCAATTGAAAAATGATGTTTCAAGCAGTTGAAAAAGGTGTGTGTTCTGAATACCGAATACTGGCAGCTTGTCACATTTTTCATGAGCATGAATTGTCTTTATCATGACGAGGTGTCCCCAACCCGCTGTGTCAGCTGCCAGTCTCTTTGAGAGATTGCAGCTGGTTGCCTCTGATGCTCCCTGAGGGTCTCTTCCCGTTTTACCTAATACCCGGTGGCGAGCTCAGGACTTTCCGCTGCAGTGCCTCTCTGGAGCCTGAAGCCAGCAGACTCGGAGCCTGGGTTCCAAAGGCTCCGAGTGGCCTCAGCATATCTTCTAAATGGGGTGAAGGGCAGAGATCAGAGTAGCCAGAGGCATTCGGGGGAGTTGAAGTGTATCCTGCGAGTATCCTGTGGTACACGGGTTAGTCACCAACACTGAAACACAGTTGAGATCGATTTCTTCAGCAATCTTTCACCCACAAAGTGGGTTATTGTTCGGCGGGGTTAAGCTTGTTGGCCTGACCTCAGAAACACTTCCACGTGGGCCGTGCCCTCTGGTCTGGATTGCAGCTCTGAGCGGCGAGTCTGAAAGCTAATATTTGGTTTGTCCTCCTCTCTTATCCCCGGCCTGGGTCTACGCTTAAAAGGAGAAGAGGCAGCTTTACAGAATTTGATGCTGATAAAACAAACGCTAGCGTCCTCGGGTCATCTCACTGAAGGGGCCGCTGCCTGCAGCAGCAAGAAGAGTTACTCTGGACGTCTCCACCGAGGGGGCAGGGGACCCCGTGTGGCACCTCCCATGGTTCCCAAGTGTCACGTGGCTCCCCCCAGAGGGCAGAAACAGGACAGCCCCCACGTCACCCCTCAGTCCCTTCCCCTGACACGGGACAGGCCCTCTCGCAGACCAGGAAGGCCCAGGGTTTGAGCCCATGGCTTCCAGGTGTCTGAGTGCATGCATTTTTCTGCTCCCACACACGGCTGCTACCAGGCGTGGAAATAAAGTTTTCCAGTTGTTGCAGAGGACAATTCTTGACTCCATGTTGGAACTGTTTCTTTGACTTACTGTTCATCGCTTTTGTTATTATACAGAGCAGCCTGCCTCAGAGAACCCTGCCCCTCTGCCTGTTAGCTGAAGTGCCTTTGTTCAGAATCCTATCCACCTGTAGATGGCAGGAGGGAAGAAATGAGCACATCCCCTGCCTGAGGCTTGCCATTCTAGGAGATGTTTGCAAGCTTACTGGTCTTTTTACTTTGCTCCCTCACCTCCCCCCATGTCTGATCTGTAAAAGATCCTGGCGTCCAACACCCCGATAAGATGGTTCTTTCGAGGCGCTAGCCTGCCGTCTTCTCCATCAGCTGGAGTTCTGGATTGAGTCGTTTTCGTCACCTCCACACCTCATCTCGGATTCACTGGCCTGTCGTGGGGCAAGCAGAGCGAGCTTGGCCTTGGGAGCACGGTGACTTTGGGGTGCAGGGACGGGACAAAGGGGAGGTGGCTCTCACGGGAGCCCCTGCCCGTCTCTGCGCTGCTCCCCGCGCTGGTCCAGCCTCGCCTCCATTTTCCTGCAGGCGCTGCTGGGACCCCGGGGGACGCCGGGTGGTGCCCCTGGGGTTCAGGCAGACACAGACTGTGAGGGCTCCGCTCATGTTCCAGCAGGAGAAGCAGGCGGGAAGGGAGACAGAGAGGAGCAGACACATAGGCAGGGCGGGCAGACTCGTGCGCCTCTGCCCAGCACGAGGAGGAGGGCAAGGCAGGGTGACGAGGGAGGGAGAGAACGTGGACAGGCTGGGGTGGGGAGGGCGGCCCGCAGCAGCCTCCGACGGGACCATCAGAGAAAGCGCCTCTGAGACTCTGAGGCCCGAATCCTGGACCGGAGCCGCTGGGCAGGGTGTCTGGACAGAGAGACAGCGCGTAGACCAGGCCTCTTTCGGGAGTGGGGGTGGTGGGGGGTCGCCCAGCACAGGGGTGCTGTGTGAGCTGGTAGCTCAGCCCCCCAGTACCCTCCCGGGGCCTCCTCCAGGGAGCCCACCCTGACCAGCTATGAGCCCGGCTCCCGACAGCCCCGCGAGACCAGCCGGCCCCCACGAGGCTTCTGCGTGTGCGCTCACCCAGCGCTCACCACCCTGGACCCGCACAGTCTTGTTTCTGCCCAGGGGGCTCAGAGCCAAAGGGGTGCACGGGGCTGTGTCCCCTCAAACCCACGTGGTGAACCCTCACCCCGGTGTGATGGCATCTGAAGGGGGCCTTCGGGAAGCTGGTAGGTTTCCATGCGGTCACGTGGAGAGAACGCTTGCAGGATGAAGGGCCCAGAGCCTTCGTGAACTGGGAAGAGGGTCCCCCCCAGACACGAGTGTGTGGGGGCCCCTATGGTAGACCCACGGCCTCCTGAGCTGTCTGCAGAATTCTGTCTCAGCAGCGGGGCTGACCGAGCCGGAGGAAGGAGACAGAGGCCGCTGCCTCCGGGATCCCCGGTCCTCCACACCGTCTCAAGGGGCCGCCCGCAGAGGGATCACAGGGCGGGGCTGGGGGCCTGGAGCCCCACAGTTCTGGGCTCCTCTCTCTCCCCCAGGTCCCAGAGGCTGGGCGTTGATGGGCAGGTGCCGGCGGGGCCCAGGGGGTCATTAGCAGCACGCTCCCGGCTTTGTGTGTGCTCTTGGGCTCTGCATGGGGAGGGTTTCCAGGACGCAAACGCGACTGCATCGAGCTGCTCCGGAGGACATCCCCAGACTGCGCTGCAGGCCGAGGGCATCGTCAAGCGGTGACCCATCCTGATGAGCCGGGACCCCGGACGAGGGGTCCTGCTACGGTGGGCAGGGAGCAGGGAGGTGCAGGGATAGCAGGTGGGAGACGGGGCGACCCTGTAAGGTGGGGTGCCAGAGGCCGAGACCCCCAGACGCAGACCCGGGAGCAAATGGACACAGAGTCCCAGCCAGCTGGGACGCGTGTGAGGGGAGAGGACACGGGAGTTGGCCGGGGAGGCCACCAGGGCTCTGAAAGCAGCCTGGGGCGGAGGGGCGGGGGTATGTTGCCTGGCTGTGTGGCTTCCACGCCAGCTCTCTCGAAAGTTCTGCAAGGTGCCTACTATTCTGTGATAATTCCCTTTCCGCTTAAACTTGCTGAAGAGGGTTCTTGTGCCTGTAACTAAGACTCCCAATCAATATTCTAGAACAGCGCCGTCCAGTGGAACTTTCTGCCTTCATGGAAATATTCTAGTCTGGACTCTCCAACTCAGGAACCCTGGCCTTGGTCGGCCACAGGGCTCTTGATATGTGGCCCGTGAGGCCACAGAACGGAATTTCAAATTTTATTTAACTTCTCTGGTGGCGCAGTTGTAGAGACTCCACCTGCCAATGCAGGAGACCTAAGTTCGATCCCTGGGTTGGAAAGAGCACCCGGGGGAAGAAATGGCAGCCCACTCCAGGATTCTTGCCTGGAGAATCCCCATGGACAGCGGAGCCCGGAGGACTACAGTCCAGGGGGTTGCAGAGAGTCAGACATGACTTGGCAACTAAACAGCAACAACAAAGCCATTCACATTTAAATAGTCCGCTGTGGCTGGAGGCGCCCTCTTTGGGGGCACAGCACTGTGATATAAACTTACGGTGGGGCGCGCCTCAGGACTAGCTGAGATCTCAGTGGCCAAGCTCACGGGGCTTGGGGACCGTGGGGCTCGGCCTGGGTGAGCCGGGCCTCCTTCAGGAGGGCCAGGGCGGCAGGTCTGCCTTCAACACAGGTTAGGGATCTGGGCACAACGGTCTGCTGACGGAACCATACGCCGCAGCATGGACGGTGGGTGCGGCGGGCAGCGCTGCAGAGGAAGCCCAGGTGCGAGGTCAGAGCGCTGCCCAGGTGAGCAGAGGGATGCCCAGGTGAGCAGAGAGACGCCCAGGTGAGCAGAGAGATGCCCAGGAAGGGAGGAGAGGAAGCCCAGGGTCAGGTGACCTAGCAGGACAGGAGGTGGATGACGCGGGTGGGGCCAGGGAGAGGCCCTGGAATGAAGGATGCCCGGACAGATCCTTGGGAGGCAGAGCTGGTCAGAGGGCTTCAGTTTCAGCTGAGTTAGGGAGTTGGGCAGGAGCAGCCAGACTGGGAGGCTGAGAGGCGCACAGGATGTTCAAGGCTGATGGACCTGGGGGAGGCTTGTCAGGGAGCCCCGTGGCGAAGAGCAGACTGCAGTGGCCGGCAGCCTGGGGGTCAGGGCGGGCCTGGGCTGAGTTTGGAGCTTGGAGGCTCACGTGGTACTGTGCGTCTCCGACAGGGCCGGTCCACCGAACCACAGGGTGCCTGAGAAATACAGGTGTGTTGTCTTAGCCTTTTTCCGGGGGTTACCTGAGGCGTTTGCACCACCGAAGACCTATTCTGAAATAAAATTTTTCTTACAGACCTGTTATAAGGAATGTAACTCTAATAATTAGGTAACTTCTCTGCTCCTCTACCAGGGTGTTTTAATTAAGCCACGATTTGCGGCATTTGGGATCTTAGCTCCCTGACAAGGGATCAAACCTGAGTCCTAATCATCGGCCCACCACGGAATTCCCTACAAAACGTTTTAAATTTCTTGTTTTACTTTTTTAACTTATTTTTTAACGGGAGGAAAGTTGCTTTACACTGTTGTGTTGGTTTCTGCCGCACAACGATGCGGATCAGCTACCTGCTGTGTCGTGTTCAGATGCTCCATCGTGTCCGACTCTCTGGGACCCCGTGGACTGCAGCCCACCAGGCTCCTCCGTCCGTGGGGTTCTCAGGGCAAGAATACTGGAGTGGGTCATCATTCAAAGAGAGGTTTTCTCCTGTGTGTGGGACAGCCGTGCTAACATAAAATCAAGAAGAACTGAAAAGATCCTGACCTTTTGCCCTGAGCAGGTTTATGGTGTGTCCATATGTGCTTCCCAGAGCTTCTGGCAGTGTTGACAGACGCCCAGTTCTGCAGAGAGCTCGCGTTGGCAGCTTGTGCGGAGGCTTAAGGAGCAGAGGCAGGATCTGGGACAGCTGCCCTCCCCCCGGCACGTCCCCACAAGGAAAGCGTGTGATCTGGGCGGGGGCGCAGGGGGCGGAAGTGACCGTGTCCACACCTGCGGGGCCCACGCTGCCCTCTCGCGGCCCGTTCTGAGAATTGCAAGCTGGCGGGAAACGCTTCTCTGTGCGGGGTGCGGGGGCCGGGGGTGGGGCTGCAGTGAAGCTCTGGGAGGAGGAAGTGAGCTCAGGCGGTTCTTCCTGCGCGCTCTGCAGTTCCTGCCCCCAGCCCCAGCCCCAGCCCTGCAGCCCCGGCCCCGCACGCCCCGCTCCCCTGGCCCACCAGCTCCATCAGAGCATCTTCTCCGGGAGACCCTCTCCCTCTCTGTCTGAACTTGCCCACTGCTGCCCCCTGGGCCTCCGTGTCCCCCCACGGCACTGGGCGCCCTAAGCTGGTCACACCCTTTGTGTGACTTGTTTCCTCTGTCTCCGCTCCTCAGGAAGAAAGCGGATGGAGGGCCGAGCTCTGTTGGCATGGCGAGGAGCTGGTCTGAAGAAACATTCTGTGAGCAGACCGAGCCGCTCTCCACCCGTCCCGGGGAGAACCTTCCTGGCCGCGCCTCAGGGCACCCGCTTTCTTACTGGACTCCCCCTGCCGTGCGCCCCTCTCCCAGCGTCTCCATCAGCCCTCAGGAGACTGAGACCCCGCCCCGGAGTCACCAGGGCTGCCCTGCCTCCTTCTCATCTCACAGGGGTCCTAGAAGGTTTTGTTGGAGGAAAGGGAAGTCTGAAGCCACTCGAACTTTTGGGGGACGTGGGAACCCGTGTCCCAGCCCCGCGGACCATGGCCTGGGGACCCGCGTCCCAGCCACTGGGCACCCGCGTCCTGGCCCTGTGGACCGTGGTCTGGGAACCTGTGTCCCCCCTGTGGACCGAGGTCTGGGCACCCGGGTCCTGGCCCCGTGGACTGTGGTCTGGGCGGCCTGCTGACCTCTAGCCTCTTTTTTGTCCAAAACATCAGGGACAGTCACTCATCTGGTGGTGTGAGACTTACATCAATTGTTTTATCATTAACCTCAAGGGCTTAGACATTATGCTTCCACTGTGGTTCCTGTCAGTCTTTGGCTCAAGTTCCACGTGATTCCGGATTTCTCTGGATGTTTTCTAGGTCTCACTGGGGATCTTGTGTGACTAGGTCATAGTTGGTTGTTAGCAAAATTCTCAGGCTCTGAAAGTGTGCTTTAAATTTATGTGCAGAGCCTAACACTGCTCTTAATTTCTCTTAAAAAAAATATTTTCTTCAGTCTGAGCATCTACCTTTTCAACTGCTATTTCCGACTAAAAACAAAACCCGATTGATCAGGTTTCCAAGTCCACAGGTCTACCTGATAAAGAAGCAGAGTTGGAAAGAAGCTCTGCAGGCCTTGGCATGTGTCCTCGTGATCAAAGTCTCCAATTGCACAGTCCACCCCTCAGCCCAGAGCAGAACCCAGGAGCCCTGAGGTCAGGGTCAGGCGCTGAGCTGACTTCCCATTCCCTCAGGGAAGAAACCCTGCGTGGACAAGGTTTGCGGGAAACACTGAAATCATGGAACTGGCGGCCAGCAGTGCTGTTTCTGAGCTGAGACCACACGTACGATTTGGCAATCCTGACTCTCTTGCCTAAGCTCAGGTGTCATGAGAACAGCATATTGAACATTCTCTGCCAAATGTTTATGTGATGTTTTTCCTCGTCATAGTGAAGTGACAAATACACACCCAGACTGGACACGTGGCATACATGAGGGCTGTTGATTTAAGATCCTGGATTAGAGCCGTTGTTGGGGAACCAACTAACTAAAACTGCAAAGTCACGGGCGTGATGTGTCTCTGGGGAGAGCCGGCGCATGCTAAGGACTGCGCTTTGAATCGCCTCCTGGGTGAAAGCGCAGCTCCCGTCTGCGGAGCAGGCCTCCCCGCGGCGGCTGCGGTTACCGCCGCTGTGCAGTTACTGGCGTCCGCTCCTGTCACGGTTTGTGTTCTGCTGCGCTCTTCCTCTCCTGCTGGAAGCTGGGCTTCGCGAGCGGCGCGCCCTGCCCCGGGGCTCGGAACCTCCCGGGTCCGCGATGGGCATGCGGTCCCCGCTCAGGAGGTGTGCTCTGACCCAGCGACTCTGCACGGGGACCACGTGTTGAGTCCGCGTGTCCGTGATGAAGTGACCGCCACTGTGTCCCAGCGCGGACAAGCGGAGGTAGCTGGGGCGGGTGCCCTCCCGGGGACGTCCGTTGGCCCAGAAGCCGAGCCCCAGGGCAGGGCTGCGCCGGTCCAGCCGCCTGAATGGCAGAGCCGACATCTGACCTGGGATCCCGGGTCACGCGCATCTGGCTTCTGCCCTCGTCCACGAGCGGGACTCATTACCTGGGAGGTCTCAGAGCGGATGAAAGCCGGGATCTGCTGGGGCCCATAACCGGGTGACCCGGAGGTGCTCTGGAAGCCGGGGTGCCCAAGTCTCCCTCACCTGCCTCAGGTCCCAGGGTCTTGGGAAGCAGATATGGCTACTGGCCTGGTTGGTGGTGCTTAGGACAAGTGACAAGCAGGATTGGCGAATATAGACAGGATGATCTGCATGAAAGGTGTCTGCAGGCCTGTTTCACATCCTGCATAAGATACCTGCACTGGTGGCTGAGGATCAGCAGGATGTCGGGTGAGCTAAGGCCGCAGACCGCCCTGCCCAGCCCAGCCCAGCCCCTCTCCCCGCCTCACAGGTGACAAGTGAGGGCAGTAGGTACAGACCGGAGCCGCTGGTGTTGGGGAGGGTGGACCCCAGGCCTTGCTCATCTGCACACGTGCGAGCAGGCACGGAGCTGATGCTCGCGGACAGCACATGGCCGGGGGCACAGAACCGTCCCGACCTGGGCCAAGGATGACCGTTTGCCTGCAGCCCCTGGTGGTGGCCTGGGGTTCCCCAAGTCTGGCCTGGCAGTGATGCAGCCCCTGCGCGCACCCTCAGCCTGGGCCACGCCCCCCACTCCCGGAGCGACCTGGCCCGGGGCGGGGACTGACGAGCCTGGCTGAGTCTCCTATCCGCGAGACTGCAGCAGGTAACTCATCAGCTCCTGAGAAGCAGAGCCTGAACGTCACAGTTGCCTGCAATCCACACACAGGCTGACCTTTGCCCGCCCGGTAGACATGTCGGGGATGACATGGGATTGTCCCGGGGCAAAGGGGGGCTAAGACCGCAGGTGGGGTTCAGCTGCTGTCACCTGGCCTCATGGTGGAGAGCACATCCGGGTTCTGGGTGCCGAGGGGACAGCTGGGAGGATGGCGGACTCGGCTCTGAGGCTGCAGGGAGGTACCGGGAGCCAGGGAGTGTGGGCGCCTCAGAAACTGCAGACAGTGGGGCTCAGAGCCTCCCAGAGCCCCTAGAAGGTACGCGGCCCTGCCTTCCCTCTGTGGGCCCAGCTGGGGCTTCTGACCGCCAGAACCACTTCCCAAGGGGGCTGTTCGACAGCCCCGGCCACTGGGACTTGTTGCGCAGCCACAGACCATGTATGCGAGTTGCTCTCTCCAGCGCAGTCTCTACCGGGGGCTGTTTTCTGAACTCCCTCGGGCCGCAAAGAACTCCTCGTGTGTTACCGCCAGCCCTGAGATCCAGCGCGCCTCCTGCCTGAAGGCCCTCAGGAGGGACCCCTGTGCCGCTGGGGAAGCAGCCCCGAAAATGACGGCAGAGACGTGTGTGTGTCTGAGGGGGTGGTCTGGCATGCAGAGAGAGGTGTGTGTGTGGGGGGGGTGGTCCAGACTGCAGAGAGAGAGGTGTGTGTGTGTGTGTGTGTGTGTGTGTGTGTGTGTGTCCCGCCTGCTGACACACACAGGTGAGGAACTGACCGAGAGGGGAGAAGAAATGAGGTTGGAGAGCTGATGACTAACAGCGTAGCTTCTTTCTTTATTTCTGTACAAAGAAAATATGGGCGTGAGGAGACCGTGGGGATGGAGCCTAGCAGCCCGCGGCCCCCAGGCCTGCTTTGCTGCCAACACAACCATCCACTGTCTCCTGCCCGGCCGCCCGGGGCGTGCACACACACACACACGTGCACACACTCAGCACTCACACCTACACGTGCACACACACAGCCATGCCTCTGGCCCCCAGGACGAGAGGAGGCCGGCTGGCTGGGGCAGAGGCTGGCAGGAGGGCGGGAGGCGGGAGGCCAGACGCTCACCTGCAGACCATCGCCCGAAACAGTAGAGAAAGGCCAGTGTCGGAGCTGTGCTAGAAAAATAGTACACTTCATAAAACCCGTGTTTATTAAAAAACCTATTCAGAAAGTCTGGAAAGCGTAATAAATACCATAGGGTGGCCGCCCATCTCCAACATAGAATATAAAGCGTGAGCACGAGAGTCCCCTGTAAACATGGACGCGGGCTAGGGTGCAAAGTGCTGGGCGTCGGGGTGGAGCGGGGGCAGGTCCCTTCCCTGGTGGCCTGAGGCCTCAGCAGCTCAGCGCCCCCTCCAAGCTAGAACCCCACGGCCCTCGGAGAGGCGCGGGGAGCCAGCCCACGTGAGCAGAGTGCAAATAAGATCCTCCTGTGGGGCCGGGGCTGGGGAGGCGAGGGGACCCCGCGGGGGGGGGGGGCGGGGGCGACACCCCGGTGAACACACTGGCTCCATCAGCGCTAGGAGCGCTCACAGGCCCACCGCCTTCCTAACAGCAACGGGGGTCTGGGATCGCTGACCGCCCGACCTGGGGAACACGGGAAAGCCCACTCTCTGCTGCTCTGACACGGGGGTGCAAAGCTTTCACTCCAGGGCGGGGGGCGAGTCAGGTGTTCCTCTTAAAGTGGGGGGGCAGGGTGGATGAGACTAGAGTGGGGACCCCAGAGGGTCCGGCTGGGCGGGAGGCCTGCGATCCAGGGCTGGGCACCTGCGGTTTCTATGAACCAGGGGTGTCTGGCTCTGTGAGGGGGCAGGGCAGCCGGTGAGCCTGCTGGCGGCCACTCCAGGCGCACACACCCCGCGAAGCCGCACGTGGGCGGTGGAGGCGCAGCGAAAGCGCCTGCACTCACACCCCGCCCGCCAGTCAGAAGGCCCAGCTGCGGGCCGCTTCACTCAAGACTGCTGCGAGTTCAGTTGAAAATGGGCTCTTGACTTCTCCGGGGGACTTTCTGTGGAAAGCCTCGTTTCGGAGGAGGGTGAGAGAGTGGGGCGCTGCACGGACAGTCACGTCGGGCCGTTCAGTAGAGCTGGGGGGGGGTCAGAGAGGTCAGAGTGGAGGGCTGCACCAAGGCGAGCCGAGCCCGCGGGCCGCTCAGAGGACACGTCGACCCCCTCCCAGCGCTGCACCTCCTCCGCCTTTTCTCTCCCTCCATTGCGAGGCTCCGACTCGAAGCAAATGAACGAACCTGCCCACAAGCCCAGGACAAAGGCCCAGGGGCCGGTGGACCAGACGTTCTCTGCGCAGCAAACAAGATACAAATGATCATGGTCGATTTCCGGGAGGGCAAAACCTGTGACCTGGGGCCACTCGGGTTTGCCTAAGTGTCCAATAACAGGTGAAACCGTGTTGACGTAGAACGAAACCCTTGCGGGCAGAAGTTTCTTGAGCCTCGGGGAAAAAGCACTTTCTATTGAGAAATATGAGATATGCCTCAAAGGGTTTTGTGGGAAAACAGGTACATGGATCTGGTCCCAACTTTTCATTCTGTGTGGTTCTGAGGGGGGAAAAAAACCTCATGGAATAATTAAAGCTTCAGCAATATGCTTATATTTTAAGGTCTGAAGACCATTAGACCGAGCTAGGGAGCTATAGTTTTAGAGTGCGGCATTCCTTGACTTGGGGTTGGGTACCAGAGTGAGTGGAAGATGGAGGGACTTTTAAATCCTGTCTTCTTGGTGAAAACCTGGCTGAGAACAACATGCGCGCCCTCCCTGCCTGAGTGCAGGGGGGCCCAGGGCTGCCAGACGATGCTCACTCCCGTGTGCACACGCCCATTAGAGACATTAAACATCCCTGACACTTCAGCTGAGGACAGCCCTGTGCGACAGAAACACAACACACAGCACAAAAGCACAGCTTCCACAAAGGGCACCCTGCCCTCTGCAAGTATCCTGCTGCTCGCCTCTGGCCTCGGGCAGGGTTGCCGGGCGGGGGGGGGGGGGGGGGGGGCGGCGCGCGGCAGAGGTCTCCAGGGGAACAGAGAAAGGGCGGATGGAAGCAGCTGAGCTCGGGTTTCCCCCGGCCACCGCGGTGCTTACAAGGACCAGGAAAGGGACAGCCAGCACTCGCGGGGAGCCCAGGACCTCTCGGAAGTTCGGGACGGGAGTGGAGCAGCCCTCCACCAGCCCCTGGTCCTCGTCAGGGTTGCACAGGCTTCGGCTGGCTCCTTCTCGGGCGAGGGGACACCAGTGATGCTTGTGAAAAGCGGCCACTGGTTCTGGGGTGGCCTCGCCCCCCCGCCAGCTCTGCAACAGGAGAGAAGGCGGGGTCTCGGTCCAAGCGGGGGGCGGGGGGCGGAGGAGACAAGGGCTCTTTGGATCATTCGGAGGGACCAGGCGTCCGCCCGCCGGTCATTCAGCCGTGGGCGCAGGGGGCCGAGCCCCCGGGGGCGCTGCCGTAACCGCCCCCTCCTCTCCGTGACATCCAGGCTGCGTGCCGGAGGTGGGGACCAGGTTGCTGACTTTGCAGCTGGAGGAGGCATCTCTCCATAGAAACACAAGCCATGTGCAAGGCCCACGGGCCCGGAGGAGCCCCCGGGTGCTCCGCACGGTCAGGGGTGCAGGAAGGGCTCCGTTTGGTTGGTGGGGGCGGAGGGGGCAGATTGGCCCGGCCGCGTCCGGGGGTCACCGTCGGATCCTCTCCCGGCTGCAGAGAAGGCGCGGGGCTTGGCTACAGCCGCGTAGACGTGAGTCTCTTCATGCCCCGGCGCTGGGCCAGGTTGGACGACAGCACGGGCTCCAGCCGCGGGGCCTGAGGGGCTCTGTTGAGAGCGAAGTAGGTGGCGGCCATGGCTCCCTGCAAACCGAGGGGGAGGCGGACTCGCTGAGCCTGGGCGGCCGGTGGACCCGGGCGGGAGCACTCAGACATCGGGATGTTGCTCTGACCGCCGCATCCGCCCGCCCACCGTGAGCTGCGCAGTGACGCAGACCCACCGCCTGCGCAGTGACGCACGACGCAGACCCGTCAGCCTGCGCAGTGACGCAGACCCACCGTCCAGAGAACTGAACGGACGCCTTGGGCTCCCACGGAGCCTCAGGGTGAGGCCTCCCAACGCCCATCCTGCTGGGTCCCCGGGGCACCCTCCTGGGAATAGCCGAGCCCGTCGGCCCCCAGCTCGGCCCGTTTTGAGGGTCTGGGACCCACTCGGGGGCCGGGGCCGCTCCTGGAGCAGCTCTAACCACCCTGGGAAGGTCGGACTGGGAGGCTCCTCGCAGGAGCCCCCGTCCCTGCACACGCCTCCCGGAGGAGGGTGCCACTGGGACGCAGGGCGCGCCGCAGACGGGTGCGGGCCTCACACGTCTTGACGGGGCGTGGGGCTCTCTGGCCAGGCCGTGATGGGCCAGGCTGCCGAGGAGCAGGACTGGGCCGTACTGCCCCGTGTCATCACAACAGCAGCGCTGATAAGACGGGCTCAGCCTCCGTGGGCGACCAGGAGCACCCGGGGCTCAGCCCTTTCGGCATACAGCCTGTGGGTGGAACCTCCTGTCCCTACCATGTGGACCCCCTGGCCCTCTGGACGCCGGCCGTCTGTCCGGGCTAGCCACAGGGGCCGGGGCGTCAGCAGCGGGGTGACCGGAAGCCACTGCCTGGCCGTATGTAGGTTCAATGACACACAGCCGCAGTGGCCCGGAAATGATGGCCGCCCCACCAGGTCAGAAGAGCCAGGCAGTGCGGGCCCACCGTAAGACAAGGATGAAAGGAGCGGCGTCTCCGTGGGGGCGAGGCCTCCAGACCCTCGAGCAAGACCCCTCGGCCGTCCGCCCTGAGCTCCGCAGGCGCGGCTGCTCTGGGCTCACCCATCTTACAGGGCTTCCTGCACGGCCCCCAAGACCTCGAGATGCCCTAAGCTAAGAGGCCACGCCAGCAGGGGTGTGGTGGCGGGTGAGCTACCGGGAAAGGCTCGCTGCAGAGCGGCGGGGAGGGGCAGGGGTCAGCAAACCCGCCCAGGGCCCAAGCCGGCCGCTGCCTGGTGTAAAGAAGCTCTTTCTGGAACTCAGCGACCACTCAGGTGCCATCCGGGCTGTTTCTGTGCTGTGACAGAGCTGGGCAGTGACAGCCATCTGGCTGGTGGAGCCTCAGCTGTGTGCCCGCTGGTGTTCACAGAGGCGCGCCCAGAGCGGAGGCCTGGCGCCCGGCCTGGTACAGGGCCCTCCGCCTGTCTCTCCTCTCTGTCTTGCACACAGACACACATGTGATGAAGCTGTTCAGAAGGTGCGCCTTCGCCAGAGTTGGTATGTGACCGCAGGTGTGGGGGACGCCCGTCGGTGCCGGTTCCTGGTTCCCCTCCCGCACCCACAACCCCCGGGGACTGACCGGCAGGAAGTCCCCCTCCCACCGCGGGGACCGCGGCGGTACCTTCACCAGGTGGACGTCCTGTCTGCTGAGCTGGTTTGGGGACAGGTGCTCCCTGTTGACGATCCAGGGGTGTTTGAGGACCTGAACTGCCGTCAGGCGCTGCTGAGGGTCCACGTGGAGCATCTTGGACACGACGTCCTGCGGGGGAGGGTGAGCGGGGCAGGGGCGGGGCAGGAGTGAGGGCTGCCCGTGCTCAGAGCCGTCCCCTCCTCCCTGTCACGGCAAAACCTCACCACTGTCCTGGGAGTGGCTCTGTGCATTTGTGGTCAAACGTTTGCTTTCAGGTTTATAAGAAGGTGAATTTTAGGAAAAAAAGGTTTAACCATCATCAACGTGGTGGTTCCCCCCCAGATTTATTTATTTTTAATTTATTTGGCTGTGCCCAGTGGCTTGTGGGATTTTAGTTTCCTGATCAGGGACAGAACCCAAGCTCTTGGTTGTGAGAGCATGGAGCCCTAACCACTAGGGAATCCCCACTCCAGGTGTCTACTGTAGGAAAGGTTTCACATCTAAAGAGAAATTAAATGTGGAGATGTTCAATAGTGCATGTAAGTTACTGCAATACTGAGTCAAAATTATAATCTTCCCAAGGGACGAGCTGAAATAAGGACTGTCACACAGGTACAAACCAATCACAGTGTCCCCGGTTACATTTTATGACATGTAATAAAATATTACTGTCCTCAACGCCACACATATTTGGTACAGCATTTGCTGCAAATAATTGCCAACTATGGAATTAATGGTCTGGTTGCCATTATATGTGTTCAAAGATTTCATGTTCCATAGAGGTGATTTTCTTCTTTGATTATAACGTAATAACAAAAACTCCTAAAATGGGTTTAAAGACTGAGCTCATCTTTATACTAAATGTTGTAATACCGGCAAATGTGTGTACACACAAGTATGGTTCCAACTGTGATTTGCGTCTGCATGGAATTCCTGAGACTGTCTTCACACATTTGATGCACCTACTCCTGTGAGTCATCAGGACCGTCCTTGGGGGAGGGCCTGACTATGACGCCCCTCTGTAGCAGGGGAAGATGCGACGTGTCCACCTGTTCACCATGTACTCGAGGAAGGGCCCTGGGAGAATCCATGGGTTTCCACCAGGCTGCTCTCCTGCCCTTCGTGTTCCCACCACATTCCAAAATGAAATGAAGTCAATTAAAGTCTCTGCGTAGTGTGAAGTTGCATCACTCAACCGAATTTGTGGTCATCAACCACAACACGAATGCCATACACCCTCAAGCAACTCCTATGAGAAACCCAAAGCCTTTTTACATTTGCTGACACTAGTCTTGGTAACTTGTTGAGACAAATATATCCTAAAAGGATTGTTCTTCCCATTTTCAGGTGTAAAAATGGAAAGTTGAGGGGACTTTACTGACTTGCTCAAGACCTCACAGGGGCTTCCCTGGCGGTCCGGTGGTTAAGAATCCTCCTTGCAATGCAGGGGACACAGGTTCGATCCCTAGTCAGGGAACTAAGACCCCACCTGCTGCAGAGCAAGTAAGCCCTCGAGATGTGACTATGGAAGCCCATTGCTCTGGAGCCCGCACATTGCAGCTGGAGAGTCCGTGCACCGTGACAAAACATCCTGAGTGCTGCAACTGAGACAACACAGCCAAATAAACTAAAAAAAACCCTCACAGCAGGGACTTCCCTGATGGCCCCGTAGTTAGGACTCTGCGCTTTCACTGCTGAGGGCCCCAGTTCAATCCCTGGATGGAGAACCAAGATCCCACAAGCCAGGTGGCAAGGCAAAAACCTAACAAAAACCAAGCCCACTGGCCTAGATGTCTCTGTGAAGGTGACATTAACATTTAAATCCATCGACCTCTCCATAATGTGGGTGGGCCTCATCCAACCAGTTGAAGGCCTTAAGTGAAAAAAGACTGACGTCCCCAAGCAAGAGGAGATTCTGCCAGAAGACGGCTTTGGACGAGAGAGGCAACGTCTACACCTCCCCGAGTCTCCAAGCTTCCGGCCTGCCCTGCAGATATTGGACTTAACCATTTCCAGCCTCCACGACTCCATAGAAACAGCCCCCCCTCCCTCTGTCTCAGTCTCTCGGTACATACACACCCTGTTCTGTGTCCCTGAAGAACTCTGATATACAAGACTATGGAAAATGTGAAAGGGTTATGAAATATTTTTGTGAAAATAATTTTTCTTTTATCTGAAAGGTGTACAAAATCTCTGAGTATAAAATATCTACGTTATTTGCATGGAAAGTATCCTCTAGCTTCCTCAGAGATGTTCCCGCAGCATCTCGGCCCCGGAGCCGTGAGGGCGCCGGGCAGAGCTCACCTTGGCGGCGTCAGAGATGGAGTCCCAGTTTCCCCCGGAAAGGGCATACTTTCCGCTGCCGATCCTTGCCAAGATGTCATCGGGGGTATCATCCGGCCCGTTTGCAAAAGGGGTGAATCTGTGTGATGAGAGATGTGTGGTGATGAGCCTCCATTTTATAATCTAAGACAAAGCTCACTGTGCCTCTTTGTTGTAAAAACAATCATTTTTTTTCTTTTCCATCATGCTCCAAATCCAAGATTCATGGCAAAGCGTAATTTATTTCTTCCTGCTGTGTCTCTTTTCTTTACTTGCCCAGTGCTAAAGGTTGATAGGGCAAATGAAGAAAGTTCTGTGGACCCAAAGATAAGCCCTTCAGAACTTTCTGGCTTCCCCAGTGACACAGTGGTACAGTGGTTTCCCCAGTGATATGGTTTCCATGGCGACAGTGTGGTATGGTGCATGGGAGCCTGGGACTTGAAGTCTGAGATGATAAGTCTGGTTGATATATTACCAACAGTGGGCTCTTTGACAAATTAATCTTTTGAGGCTCAACTGGAAATGGGCAGCATAATACACTATAGCAGCGGTGTACATAGACACACATAGAATGTGAATAGTCCTTGCGCCGTCACTAATGTGCGGTAGAGGTTTCCTGCCACCCCCCTCACATAAACCAGGGCAGGTCAGTGTAGCCTTCCTTGGAAAGGACTTCTGTGTGATTCTAACAGCACTCCCTTCAGTGGCAGGTGTGTGCTCCTAGTTACGGATCGGCAAAGCGAGCGCCAGATGGGTCACCAAGTGGGGCACCGGCAAGAGATGGCAGAGGCCACCCGGGACCCCCTCCACTGGACACCGTCACCGACTCCCTGGGGCCACACAAAACGCAGGTCATCCTCGGTCGCTCCTGCGAGGCCCTTTTCTCCAGTTTGCCCCCCTATAGAGGACTGGATGACCTAGCCATCTCACCTGCCCCGCCACCCTAGTATTTAATAAAGTCCAAACCGCTGGGCACTAGGGGATCTTAGGGTTCAGACCTTCCTGGCTGGAAGGAGCTTTCAATGTCACACCATGTCCTCCTCTCACTCAGCAGTGAGGGCAGTGAGGGGCTCAGGTCAGGATTCACCCGGGAGCAGAGCGAGTGAGGGTGAATCTGTGAGCTGGAGCCTGGGGGCCGCCTGCCGGCTTCAGGACACTGCAACTTCCTGGCTCGAGAAGACATTTCTAAGCCAAGATGTGACCTTTCCAGAGGGTATGTGGTCCAGAGGTGAGTGGGCTCGTGGTCTGAGGCTTGGGGTTTTGTGGGTGAGCTGAGCCCTGCAGCGCCAGCTCCCTAATTCCAGAGACACCCTTGAACGACAGGCAGTCCTCAACTTCCTGCCCCGCTCTCTGACCATCCACCGGGGCCCCGGGCCTGAGCTCTGGGCCTGGGCGGGGGCCCGAGTGGCACCCACACAGGCTGCGTTACCCCGCCAGCATGGTGTAGAGCAGGATCCCCAGGCTCCAGATGTCACACGCCGCATCATAGCCCTGCCGCTTCAGGACCTGCGGGGAGAGCAGACTCGGATCAGCGCTGGGCAGAGGAGTTCAAGTTCAAAGTGTGTAGCTGTGATGGGACCTTAAGGCCGGTGGAGGTGGGGGTGGGGTATGGGGGGACGGAGATGGGGGGCAGGGTATGGGGGGTGGAGGTGGGGTTTGGGGCATAGGGCGGGGCGGGGGATATCTTCAGTGAGACCACTGTTTACTACTGCAAAGCCAACCCCAATTCCCCCGCAGTAGGATTTCCCCAAGACCAGCACACACAGGGAGCCCTGGCTCTTGACGAATATACGACAGAAGGAAAAGGAAACATTTAATTTTGAAGGAAGAAGTTTGGGGACTGGTGGTCTCGTGGTTAGGATCCCGTGCTTTCACTGTGGTGGCCTGGGTTCAATTCCTGGTTGGGGAACTGAGATCTCGCAAGTCACGTGGTTTGGGGGAAAAAGGCAGAATTTTTTTTAGTGTAGTAAAATATACTTGGGCTTCCCAGGTGGTGCTAGTGGTAAAGAACCTGCCTGCCAACGCAGGAGACACAAGAGATGCAGATTGATCCCTGGGTCAGGAAGACCCCCTGGAGGAGGAAATGGCAGTCCCCTCCAGTGTTCTTGCTTGGAGAATCCCATGGACAGAGGAGGCAGGTGGGCTACAGTCCAAGGGGTCAAAAGAGTCAGACACGACTGAAGTGACTGTTGTTTGTCATTCAGATGCTTAGTGATGTCTGATTGTTTGCAACCCCATGGACTGCAGCATGCCAGGCTTCCCTGTCTTTCACCATCTCCCGGAGTTTACTCAAACTCATGTCCATCAAGTCAGTGATGCCATCCAACTATCCCATCCTCTGTCATCCCCTTCTCTGCCTGTCCTCAATCTTTCCCAGCATCAGGGTCTTTTCCAGTGAGTCAGTTCTTTGCATCAGGTGGCCAAAGTACTGGAGTTTCAGCTTCAGCATCAGTCCTTCTAAGTGAATAGTCAGGATTGATTTCCTTTAGGATGGACTGGTTGGATCTCCTTGCAGTCCAAGGGACTCTCATGAGCCTCCTCCAGCACTATAGTTTGAAAGCATCAGTTCTTTGGTGCTCAGCCTTCTTTATGGTTCAACTCTCGTATCTGTACATGACTACTGGGAAAAACCAGAGCTCTGACTAGATGGACCTTTGTTGGCAAAGTGATGTCTCTGCTTTTAAAACGCTGTCCAGGTTTTGATTTGGCTCACAAAATATACTTAGCACAACATTCCCACCTTCCCCACTTTTAGGTGTGGTTGAGTGGTGTTAGATTCATTCACATTGCTGGGCAGCCGTCACCACCTTCCCTTCACAGAACTCATTTTATCTTGAAAACCTGAAACTCTGTCCCCAAGAAACAGCTCCCCACTCCCCTCCCCCCAGCCCCTGGGAACTACCATTTTACTTTCTGTCTCTGTGAATGTGATGACTCTAGGCCCCTCGTGTAAGAGGAATCATATCATTGTGTTTTTCTTTATCACACTTTTAACACAGTGTCCTCAAGGTTCGTCCATGCTGTGACGTGGGACAGGATTTCCGTCCTTTTTGCTTAGTCTCTCAGTCGTGTCTGACTCTTTTGAGCCCCATGGACTGTAGTCCACCAGGCTCCTCCGTCTATGGGATTCTCCAGGCAAGAATCCTGGAGTGGGTTGCCAGTTTCCTCCTCTAGAGGATCTTCCCGATCCAGGGATAGAACCCGAGTCTCTAGTATCTCCTGCACTGGCAGACACATTCTTTACCAATAGCGCCACCTGGGAAGCCCTCCCTCTTTTTAAAGGCTGACTGATATCCCACTGAACCTTTCATCCTTCGATGGACACGGGTTGTTTCCACCTTCTGGCTGCGGTGAACAGAGCGGACAGATTTCCATTCCTGCCTTTGCTTTTGGGTTTACACCCAGAAGTGGAATTGCTTGGTCACTGGGTAAGTCTGTGTTTGATTTTTTGAGGACTAGTTAGGATGGGAGAATTTTCATGTGTCCCAGGATCACTTACTGCATTAGAGGGCAACCCTCTGCTACGCTCACAGTTGAGAATAACAATAGAGAAAGAGCACAGATGCTCCTGGAAACTGCAGGTCACTGGATTTATACTGAGCGTGGCATCAGGAGAGCTGTGTACAGCCTCCTCAGACACAAGGGCCGGGTTATCTGCACTTGGGGCACAGCGTCTCCAGTACCGTAGGTAGGTCACCAAGGTGTGTGAATGCACCCAGGGATTGGTGTTCAAGCTCTTCTCATCTCCACTAGCTGAGTATCTTCAACGTCCCTTCCACGCATGGAGCCTGTTTTTTTTTGTTGTTGTTGTTTTGAATCTGTGAAATGTGGCTAATAGTATCTACCCCATCCATTCCATATGGCATATGAGGATAAAAACAAAAAATACCGATAAAGTACTTGGTAAATGGTAAACTAACAGATCTGTGTAAGGTAGTCTAGAATCACTAAAACCATCAATATTATTATTAGCATCGATTAAATAAGGCAGCAATGTTGATCAGATAGAACCAGATTATTTTTAAAGGGGCCACAGGTATCATCCGGACAGTCTACTACGGGCCCCAAGGCCCATCCCAGGCTTCGCTTCCATCCGTGTCCCGGCAGGCATGCAGACACCCTCCTCAGGGAGCATTGCCGGGGGTCAGCTTGCGGACCCTGCCCGCACCGCCTCTCGGGCAGTTCACAGCCTGGCCACTAGGTGTCAGCATGGCTCTCTTAGGAAGCGCGGTACCCGCCACCGCGCCCAGTGGGAGCGCTCGGGGCAGCTTCACCCGCAACCAGAGGATCCACGCGGAACCCGAGGCTTGTTTTCATTCCTGACGCTCCCCCCTACCCCCTCACTCCCAGCATCGTCAGCCTGCTCTGCACTAGTCCTGCTCCCGCCAGCGCCCCTGGATCGGCTGTTTCCTAAAAGGCAAGAAGCTGGATTTGTCTTCACAAACGCGTCAGGGACTCCAGGACCTATGGGGCACGACCCCGGCAGCGCGGAAACGGGGAAATGTGCTTATAAGATGCGCTGCCCTGGTTCTCCGAGACCCCGAGGCGAGCACGGAGGAGGGCCCTCAGGATCCACGCGGGTTCTCATCCGCAAATCCCTGCAGAACCATGACGTTCTACCCCACGGCTCCCACGTGAGCCTGTCGTGGAAGACAGTCTGGAGCAGGAATTCTAGCAGAAGGTCTGTGCACACACACGCACGATCTCCCGGCGTAGTTGTGGGTGGATTTCTGATCCCAGGTGACCCGCTGGCTCCCTCCCAGGTGAGGAGAGACCAACGCATTAGTTCTCACTCTGTGCCTGCATTCTAAGTTGCTTCAGTCCTGTCCAACTTTTGGCGACCCCATGGACTGTAGCCCGCTGGGCTCCTCCGTCCATGGGATTCTCCAGGTGAGAATTCTGGAGTGGGTTTCCATTTCCTCCTCCAGGGGATCATCCTGACCCAGCGATAGAACCCAAGTTTTCTATGTCTTCTTCATGGGCAGATGGGTTCTTTACCCCTGGGGCCACCTGAGATGCCCACTTCTCACTGCAAGTCTTAACAAGCAAGCAGATTTGGTCAAAATCGTCTATGGCACAATGACAATTCTCATTGCAGGTTTTACAAATAGGAAATAAAAATGTTAAAATAGCCGTGTCTGAGCACGATCAGGGGCTGACCCAACAGAGACCGAAGCTTCCCTTTCCTGCCCACTGCCGCTCCTGCCCACTCCAGCGCCCCACACAGGTGGCCGCTCCGGCAGCGGGAGAGGGCCGACCCCTGCTGGCCCAGCGGTCCTCTCACCTCCGGGGCCACAAAGTTGGCTGTGTAGCAGGGGGTCATAAGCAACCCGTTCTCGGCCCGCAGCTGCTTGGCAAACCCGAAGTCACAGATGCGGATGGATTCGGGGTTTCCAGACTCGTCCATGTACAGAATATTGCTTGGCTTCAAGTCCCGGTGAACAACCTGGAAAGCAGGCAGGAGGAGTCATGCCTAACTAGGCGGGGATGGGGGGGGGGATGGAGCAGGGGCGAGAAGTAGGGGGTATACCCTCACGAGATAAGGGCTCATTTGGAGCCGTTTACTCTGGGTGGGTCTGGTGGCAGGAAGCCATTGGCTGGGACGCTATGAACTCTGCGAGTCTTTCCCCCTTCTCTTTCTCTGATGCTCAAAACCAAGGACCAACCCACTGCCCCAGCCCTAGGATGGCAAGTGTCTGGATGAATAAATAAGTAGGCTGCTGTCCAGGGTCGGGGGGGGGTCCCGTGGGGCCATCACTCGGGGACGCCGCTGGTGCTTGGGAATGTGGACGGATTTCTCAGGATACAGGCCGGCCGTGTGCGGCTACGTTCCAGTGCGGGAAGGTGCCGGGCACCCCAGTGGGTGTACAGACAAGGAGCCTCCGTCCTATGCTCACAGCCAGGGGACAGAAACCCGAGACTGCATCTTGCCCAGGGAGCAGCCGGGACAGAGCCAGCAGCACCTCAAAGCACAGAGGCTGTTCAGCTATTCAGGGCACAGAGCGGCTTCTTCTGAAGGGGACAGAGGCCCATTGTGAGAATGCGTGGCGTGCCCGCGCCCCGCGTGGGGCCCACGTGTCTCCATTGTCCTGCTCACGCCCAGACAGGGGACAGGGGAGGCAGATGAAAAAAGGCCTCGGCAGGCGACCGGCGGGGCTTCAGAGGCTGCAAGGCCAGGAGACAAAAGACCGCTGTGCCAGCTCCCCTCTTGCAACAGAGGCCAGCCTGCAAAACCACGCTCTGAAGGGCCACCCCTGAAGTCTGACTGTCCTAGGAAGGGTTTACTAATCCCGGAACCAGCGATCGCCCCGTGGGCCCGGAGGAGCGCCCTGTTCAGAGGGCACACATGTGCAGCTGGCTGAGGAACAGCGCAGGCCTCCTGGAGGTTGCTGACTGGGCGGGGAATCTGGGGCTGGGGGCAGGGTCGGCCTGGAGGCACGGTGCTGGGCGGGAACCGGCTCTGCGTGCAGCTCTGGGCGAGACCCTCAACCCTTCTGTGCTCCAGTCTCCTCATCTGTGAAATGGGTTTGACCCGGAGCCTAGAACCGACCAGACGAGGAGCTCAGAGTGGCGCCGGGCCCCGGTGAGGGCTGCGATCTCAGCTCTCACGGTCGTTTCATCACCAGCCTCCCGGGCGGTGGGGGCGGGACACTGACAAGCACTCCACCATTAGGCCTGAAGCACTTTTCCGCTGTAACGGGTCCCAGTGAATTTAAATCTCCTGGGCGAGCTCCTGGACGCAGGCTGCGTGCATCTGCAATCACGAGGCCCACGAGGAGCGGCTAGGGGCGGGGAGGGAGGCGGGCGCCTGGCTCCCGAGCGCTGAGCCCGCGGGCCCACGCCGGGGCGCCTTACCCCCTGCGAGTGGAGGTAGTCCATGGTCTTGGCGACGGTGCACAGCACGGCGCTGGCCTCGCGCTCCGAGAAGTGCCTCTGCCGCAGGATACGGTCCAGCAGCTCGCCGCCCCGCATCAGCTCCATCACCAGGTACACGAGCTTCCCGTCGTCGTAGACCTGGGGGCGAGGGGAGCGCGCCCGGCTCAGGGGGAGCGCGCCCGGCCCAGGGGGAGCGCGCCCGGCCCAGGGGGGCGCGCCCGGCCCAGGGGGAGCACGCCTGGCGCAGGGGCGCCAGGCCGGGAGGGCCGGGGGGCAGGCCGGCGGCTGCCGCCGGGGGGCTGGGGGCTGGGCTTCCCTCTAAGCTTTGTTCGCATAGGCCTGTCCTCGGAACTGAGCCAGCGTCAGGAAGGCCTCTTACGCCAGGCATTCATGGGGCCCTGGGGAGATCGGGGGGGGGGGGGGGTGTCCTAGTATCTTGAGGTTCTGGGCTGATGACCCTGGGGTCACTCTGGGTGGAGGGCAGGGGTGGACAGGAGGCCAGTGCGTTCCCCGTTCTGACCCCAGAGCCGGGCTGGACGCTGCCAGGAGCATCTGTCTGGCTCCAGTGCACCGGGCACCCCCGCCCCTGTCCTTCTTCCAGGGACACGGACCCCGCATCACTCAACAGGGACAGAGGGAAGCTGGCCGGGGCCGTGGACCTGAAGCTCAACTCTGAAGCCCCACTTCACGGGCCGCACGCTCTCCACGACAGTGAGAGACAGCACAGCTGGCTTAGAACCGTCGTGGGGTCTCTCTCCTCTCCCCCACGGCACGCTGCGTTATGGGATTGGGTAGGGGTGGGGGCCTGTCAATGGGACGTGATGAACAGCCAAGCAGGCTGGGCCCTCCGGCTGCCGGGTGACCCCGAGGGGCCCGGGCAGCAGCGGCCTCAGGCTCCAGGGCACCAGGAAGGGCGGGTGAGCGGGTGGCAAGCCGGCCCCGCATCCTCGGGGGCGTCCGGGGGGCGGGGCCCAGACACAGAGCTCGGTGACAGCGGGGGTGCTGGCAGGCACTTACGTCTTTGAGGGTGATGATGTTGGGGTGCTGGCCGTACCGCAGGAGAATCTCGATCTCCTCCGAGGGGTCCCTCTTACTCTTGTCGATGATCTGAAACAGACAGGCGTGAGGTGTCCAGCAGGCACCTGCGGCTGGGATCCCTTCTGCGCCCTCCCCCTCGCTGTCTCCAGCTTGAGCTCAGCAAAGATAACCCAACACTGCCCAGAAATGCATGGCCATCCTTTCTTTCCTAGTGAGCAAGACTGACGCTAAAAAAAAAAAAGAGGGCGCTTGCCTCCAGACACAAAGTTTAAGCCGTTACACAGCTGGATGAAGAAGGGTGAGTTTGGGGAGTTCACACGGGCACCTGAAAAGCAGAAGGTGCTTTTTCCTACACTGCCTCTTGTTACTGAAGTTCTAGCTCGGACACCAGGGTGACTTCTGTTATTGAAGGAAGTCAACACACAGCGCGTCCGTCGAGAGGAGATGTCTTAAAGGCTCCTTCAGTGACTGGTGAAGGGGAAGCCCTAACACGAAGATGCTTAGCTGCCTGGGGTGTGGTCTCTACGTTGCGTGGGCCCCACGCTGGCCGGCGTGGCTCTAGGACAGTCTGCGCCGCAGCCGCCTGCCGGCCGTTCAGGTCCTTGGCTGTGACCTCTGTGCAACTTAAGAAGATTAAAATCATTAGTGGGCTTTTTTTAAGTTAATAGTATATTCTTTTTTTTTTCAAATAAAATTTTAGGATTTTTGTTCCTGTTCAGCCACAAAGTCGTGTTGCACTCTTTGCGACCCCATGGACTGCAGCACGCCAGGCTTCCCTGTCCATCACCAACTCCCGGAGCTTGCTCAAACTCATATCCATTGAGTCAGTGATGCCATCCAACCATCTCATCCTCTGTCGTCCCCTTCTCCTCCCACCTTCAATCTTTCCCAGTATCAGGGTCTTTTCCAATGAGTCAGTTCTTCTCATCAGGTGGCCAAAGTACTGGAGTTTCAGCTTCAGCATCAGTCCTTCCAATGAAAACCCAGGACTGATCTCCTTTAGGATGGACTGGTTGGCTCTCCCTGCAGTCCAAGGGACTCTCAAGAGTCTTCTCCAGCATCACAGTTCAAAAGCATCAATTCTTTGGTGCTCAGCTTTCTTTATAGTCCAACTCTCACATCCGTACATGACTACTGGAAAAACCATAGCTTTGACTAGATAGACAAATCACCATGGAACAGGATGCAAGGTGAACAAGAAAGAAGAAACTTTTTTACCATGCCGATGGCCCCCGGGCAGGGTGAGGGGAGCCGTCACAGGACCAGAGGCGGCGGCTTTATGGCCAGCCCGACCACCCCCCCCAAGGCCCAGGGACACTGCCCCCCTCCCTCCTGGGGTGTCTCCCCAGATGGAACCGACCGGAAGCCAGGGGGCGGGCAGGGCACCGTGCTGGGGGCCCTGGTGGGCCTGGAGGTGAGGAGTGGGCACTGCCTGGAAGGGGGGTCCCCGGGGAGCTGAGGCGGGCTCAGGCTCCCGCACCTGCCCTGCCGACTGCTGCCCCCACCCCTACCCCCCCAGTCTGGGCGGTGGGGGACCGGCACACGCGGCGGGTTCTGTTCAGACCCAGAGTCCTGTACTGACTGTCGTCAGCGAGGGAGGGCTGCCTTTATCCACAGATGCTTTCCCGCGATTGTTTTAAGGAAGCTCAGGAGGGATGGACAGAGAGGCGTGAGGACTGGTCCCTGTCCCTGATAAGGCAAAGCCCAGGTCTGTGGGGGCACAGGCTCGGGTCGGGGGTTGAGAACACCGTTCGGAAGCCTCCAGGAAGGAACTTCTTCTCCGTGGGGGTCCGTTTCTTGGGATGGCTATCGTGGGGCTGGCTTCTCCTTCAAGCGAGCCCTGGTCAATTGAGTCCCTTATTCTGAGAACAATGCTGCTTTATAATCTTCCTTATGCAACAAAGCAAGAGAGGAATTCTCAGTAAACATGTTCACATGCAAGGCCTCCCTTCTCCGTGCGGACGCTCAGATGGAGAGGACGGACCACAGGTGGGGAGGACCAGAGGGTCTGTCCTCACCTGGAGCAGACGCCACCCAGGGGTCAGCGCCCAGCGAGGCTGGCAAACCAGACTCTTCAGGTGCTGCTGTCTGAGCAGCTCTGTGCTTCCACAGCCCACGAAGCAAGTCCAGCCCCAACAAAGGATGCAGAGGGCGTGATTCTCCTTAGCAGGGGAAGCTCACAGGTGGTATCAGCACGTCTTATCCCTGCTGGCTGAAGGTGGGGACGAGACTGGTCCAGACGCCACCAACACCCACACGCTTGTTTCCTCTGCTCTTCCTTTGGGACTCTGCATTGCCCTATCTTCCTCTTCCTCAGCTCTGTCCAGCACGGGCTCCCCTCCCGGACACCGCAGAGCAGAGGGCTTTGAGGAGCGACAGACGGGGGTGACGCCCAGGCCCGCCGCACCCCCTCCTGAGGTGGGGTGTTTCTTCTGACTCATCGAGAGGATTAATACTGTATTTGAAACGAGACTAGCAGAGCGTGGAGTCCCTTGTAAAACTGAACAGATACCTTCTCTTGTTCAATTAACTTAAACAAATGACACAGAGAAAGGGCACCAAGTTTTCCTGCCGGAAAAAATTAAATTTCCATGCCAATCAGTTTTCCTTCTAAAAATAGGCTCTATTCACGTCAGCCATCTGTCTTAATTCCACTGCTTTTCTGGTTGACAAATTACATACGCAGCATGAAAACACGCCCAGAAACGCAGTGTAATTGTCAGCCGTCTGTTGTGAATACAAATGGAGTGGCCAGTCAGTCCGGCTTCAGCCCCGAGTGTGTCGGCCACACTGCACTAGAATTACAAATCAGGAGACGCCGACTCCGGCACAGTTCCAAGGATGGCGCTTTATTTCTACCTGACTCTATTGCTATTTTAGGAACACACGAATCTGCTCCTGAAAGGACACCCAGCTGTGCTGCCCTTCGGGACAGCATGGCCACGGCGGCTGACGTCCACTCGGACCCGCGTGAGCCTCGCAGACACACAGGAGGAAATGGACAAGTGGCACCTTGGGTGAGAGGAGCTGGTGTCTTGCGTCCGCAGATGAAACGGGCCAACAGGAGGGGCTGCAGCCACAGAGGGCTCCCTTCGTTTCGGATTCATCAGCCATATCCCCGTTTGGCTCTGGGCTCTGGTTCTGTGATCAGTAAAGACCTACCTGGCTGGACTGTGAGTTTCCCTGAGAACAGGTTTGCTTTTGCCTGGAACCTAGCACTGTGTCTGCCTGGGAAAAAGAGTTAATACTGAACTGTGAAAAATGAATGAAAGTAACTGGTTACTGAACAGAGGCGTTCAGTAAGGAAACGTGTGCAGAAGGAAATGCGATCTAGAGATAAGAAGACTTGGGTGGACCACTCATCCTGCCCACTCTGACAATAAACACGCCAAAGAAAGGGATGTAGTGATTCTGAATTTGAAGAAAAGCCACTGATTGATATCTCTCTCTCTCCCTTTGGGTCACACCACGCAGCTTGTGGAATCTTAGCTCCTTGACAAGGGGTTGCACCCAGGCCCTAGCGGTGAAGCTGAGTTCTAACCATTGGGCCACCAGGGGACTTCTGGTACTTCTCTGTCTCCCCATCCATCCTTGATACCGCCAAGCATCATGACGGGGTGTGGACAGGAGACAAGCTGGGAAGCACACTGGGGTTCCAACAGCTTGAAGTAAGCACTGCAGGCCAGCAGGATGGGGACAGGAGGGGACCACATCGTGGTCAGAGGGACTGACGCCCAGTGCGGGGAGCAGAGTTCTGGGTTTATGGAGTGCTGCTCCCCGGGAGTGGGCTAAGGATGGGGTGAGGAGGGGCCAGAGGAGTTCCAGGAACAGGGCGGTGCGGGCCTGCTGGCCACTGCAAGGATCTGGGCTCCACCTGAGTGAGAACAGGACCCAGGTTCCCCCTCGGTCAGTCTCTCCCATCAGGAAGCTTCCACAAGCTCTGACCCTTCTCCATCAGAGGCCGACAGAGTGAAAACCACAATCACAGAAAATTAACCAATCTGATCACATGGACCACAGCCTTGTCTAACTCAGTGAGTGGGGCCACCCAAGATAGACAGGTCATGGTGGAGAGGTCTGACAGAATGTGGTCCACTGGAGAAGGGAATGCAAACCACTTCGGTATTCTTGCCTTGAGAACCCCATGAACGGTATGGAAAGGCAAAAAGATACGATGCTGAAAGAGGAACTCCCCAGGTCGGTAGGTGCCCAATATGCTACTGGAGATCAGTGGAGAAATAACTCCAGAAAGAATGAAGGGATGGAGCCAAAGCAAAAGCAACACCCAGTTGTGGATATGACTGGTGATGGAAGCAGGGTTCGATGCTATAAAGAGTAATATTGCATAGGAACCTGTAATGTTAGGTCCCTGAATCAAAGTAAATTGAAAGTGGTGAAACAGGAGATGGCATGAGTGAACGTCAACATTTTAGGAATCAATGAACTTAAATGGACTGGAATGGGTGAATTTAACTCAGATGACCATTATATCTACTACTGTGGGCAAGAATCCCTTAAAAGAAATGGAGTAGCCATCATGGTCAGCAAAAGAGTCCAAAATGCAGTACTTGGATGCAATCTCAAAAACAACAGAATGATCTCTGTTCGTTTCCAAGGCAAACCTTTCAATATCACGGCAATCCAAGTCTGTGCCCCAACCACTAATGCTGAAGAAGCTGAAGTTGAATGGTTCTATGAAGACCTACACTACCTTCTAGAACTAACACCAGGAAAAGATGTCATTTTCATCACAGGGGACTGGAATGCAAAAGTAGGAAGTCAGGAGATATCTGGAGTAACAGGGAAGTTTGACCTTGGAGGACAAAATGAAGCAGGACAAAGGCTAACAGAGTTTTGCCAAGAGAATGCACTGATCATAGCACACACCATCTTCCAACAACACAAGAGATGACTCTAAACATGGACTTCACCAGATGGCCAATACTGAAATCAGATTGATTATACCGTTTGCAACCAAAGATGGAGAAGCTCTATACAGTTAGCAAAAACAAGACCGAGAGCTGACTGTGGCTCAGATCATGAACTCCTTATTGCCAAATTCAGACTTA